GCTGGAGACGCCACTCTTGTGGGGACGCCCTTCCACTGCGGGGAACGTCTCTCTTCTGCCAGAGGCACCCCTTTTCTTCTTATGGGGCTCCTGTTTTTTTTCTGGGGCGAGGCGACCCTCTGCTGCTCGGAACGGGGCACGCCTCTCCTTTTACTGGGGCACCGCCCCTCTGCTGAGGTTGCCCTTCCGCTGTCGTCAAGGGCGCCCCTCTTGGTAGAATATACTCCTTTTCTTTTTGTAATGGGGCGCCCCTCTTCTACCGGGGGCGCCCATCTGCTGCTGGGGCGTCTGTCTTCTGCCGGATATTGTCAATGGGGCACCCATATCCTGTTTGGCGGGCCCAAACTCTGCTGGAGGCTCCCCATTTCTAATTAACTTTTGCTGTGGCGCCTCTCTTCTGCTGGGGCGCACCTCTTCTGCTTGGGGCGCCCGTCTCCTGCTGGAGACCCCTCTCTTCTGCTGGGGCGCCCCTCTTCTGCCAGTGGCACCCATTTTCTTATTATGGGGCTCCTTTTTTGCTGGGGCGCCCAGCTGCTGTCAGGGCGCCCCTCTTCTCGGAATGGGGGCGCCTCTCTCCTTTTGCTGGGGCGTCGCTCCTCTTCAGGGGGACACGTCTCCTGTTAAGGGTGCCCTTCCGCTGCCAGGGGCGCCCCTCTTGAACAGAAGGTATTTTATATTCTTGTAACGAGACGCCCTCTTCTGCTGGGGGCGCCCATCTGCTGCTGGGGCGACTCTCATCTGCTGGGAATAGGCAATTGGGCGTCACTCTCCTGCTTGGTGAGCCCAACTTCTGCTGGAGGCGCCCTATTTCTGCTGAACCTTTGCTGTGTCGCCGCTCTTCTGCTCGGGGCGCCCTCTCTGCCGCGGGATATGGGCGCCTTTTTCGGATGGCGGGGGGGGGGGGGCGGCCGCCCCCGTCGCCCCCCCCTGGATCCGCGCCTGGTCAAGAGGGACTTGGAAATACTTTTCCGAAGTTTTGAAGTAATACTTTTTGATCAAAATACAATTGTGCATGTCAACAATACTTGCAGCATTACATTGAGAAACGATGAGAAGAGCCATTAGCCTTGCAGCAAAAGCAAACATTTTCTTGCAAAACAACATCTGTTGCATGGTTCTGTGTAACTGAAGCCAAGTTATCTCGGTCGTGACGAGAGACCCGCCAGTGAGCCCTTCACTAAATAGCCGCAAAACAAACAGTGCTCAAAGCTAGCACTGCATGAGGATTAACTTTATCTTACCAGAGAGTAACCGCAGATGCATCCATTAACAAATTAAATACCACTTACAAACGAGTTTTCGCCCGACGGATGTGCATTGTTCAAGGCACAAAATCAGTCTGTAATGGGCATTTAAACCTGTAAATTACTCATGTATCTGCGATAATTGTGACCCATTAACAACTTAATAATACTTCAGCTGGGTATCACTTGTGTTCCTCCCCCCCCGGGCGCCGGCTCGGGGGGGGGGGGTAGCTACCCACCGGGCGATGGTAATCCATACCTCCACCGACCACAAGAACTGGTCACCGGCCTTCCGAAATCAATGGACAATCGACGACTCGCAAAAAAAAAAATAACAGCCATGGGGAAGCATGCGACGGATCACGCGATGAATTGTGATGAAATGACGCTATACTTGACCCCCATGTGCAGAGCGGTGCCTTAGGAGGGCAGTATTTATACGTAAAACGGTATCTACATCATCCGTTGCTTTTAGCCGAGGTGAATATGTATGACCTTGTCATTTAGGGAGACTGACCCCACGTGACGGTGCGCCGTCCTTGCTACCGGAAATCCTATTTGAATGGCCTGATAAATTTGTAGTTAACTTTTAAGCAATGCCCCAAAGAGCATCAGCACTCGGTCAAACTTATTCGTGATCAGTTTCTGTATTTTTTCACTGTCGAGTGTCGACATATCGCGGATAATTTTGCTCACGTAGGTATGACTCATTAAAATGATCTAACGCATTATTTTGTTCCAATCAGGAGCGGAACGGTTCTATTTTCACCCCTTTCCTTGCTTAACATAACCGTAAAACGCCAGTTATAAATACTAACTAGCAGCTGTGCGGCCCCGTCAGCCCTAACACCTGTAGCATCTGAGACAACAGGTCCCCGTAGGTATACCCCACGACCTCTGACGCAACGGGCAATCTTTCGTCACCATCTGCTACTGCACTTGACATAACACTTTTCTTTGTTTAATTTTTTATTCCACCCAGCTGGGCCAGTGGCAGAGGTGCGGATACGGCTTCTGGTTGGCAGTTTACCAGTTTATTATTGCTTTACTTGATTCACGACTTAGCGACCCACAGCCACATGGGACCACAGGACGATGCCGATGGGGAGAATTCAACGGCTCGGTAGATCATTTAGGAAACATACCTACGTAGAGGCTTCGGGCCTTACTGTTTACAAAATCCGGGCGGTGGTTTACAGGGTCAGGCCGCTCTGAGTACAGGGCCGGGGGCGGGTGGGCGGTATCAGCGGTCGTTCACGGTCTGCCGCTCTGGCTCGGTGGCGGCTGCAGCGGACAGCGGCGCCAGGTCCGGCGCGCGGCGGCGGCGGCTGCAGCGGCGGCGGCGGGCGGGCGGGCGCGTTCGTTGGCCCGGGCCAGGCCCGAGGGGTGCTCCGACCTTGGCCACGCGGCCGACTGTCAGACAGACGCACCGGCTCGGCTGACAGCGAGCGGGCAGCGCCATGGCCGACGCCGAGCCAACTTCCCAAACGGTCTCGGCACCCCGCCTGATAAAGCTCGGTTAGAGCCGACCATACTGATGACCCGGCGGGGGCGGGGGAGGAAGGGGAAGAGTGGGAGAGGTAGGGAGGGAAGAGTGGAAGGGGTAAGGAGGGGAAGGGTGGGAGGGGGACGGCTGGACACATGTCCTAGTAGGGCCAGAAAAGTGGCATGGTTCTTAATCAGATAACATAAGAAGTACTGAGAAATTAAAGAACTCGGGTTATCAAATTATCAGAGTCCCAGGAAGGGAATTCTTATCAGGTGGGTTCGATTGGTAAGAGGGACGTTAACAGCAGGCGAAAATTATTCGGTAAATGTGCATATTTATTGGTTTTGGTGAGAGCATGGTTTAAAGGTAGTGTGCCACCTTTGAAAGATTTCCCATTTTATTTTTCCTGGGATAAGAAGCTTCTGTTTTTACCTAATATCGCAAAAAAAATCAAAAATGGGCCTGGAATAGTGCCTTTTTCGCCTAAAAGTTTATCGGTTTTTCGATATGTATAACAACTGTAGTGGGCTGACCTGCAAACAGGCGTTGGCAACAATCGCGAATGCGGCGCACATGTGACAATAAGCAAAGGTCATTATAGAGTTACGACGTACGGGAATGAGTTATCAGCTGTCTAATCGTAGACAACACAATGTCGAGCCTTAAACTGTAAGCCTGTATTGGTATTGTTTCTTTTATTTGGCTGTCGAACATTATTTATGGTTTGAAATATGATTTTATGTAAAATAATTGATATGAAAAAGCCGTCTCTTAAGTTATGACCCCATTCCACCACACGCAAGTGGCAGAAATGACAATGATCAGCTGACGCATTTTTCTTGGCCGAAGTCAGAGCGCGCGGCCCGACGCACCACCACCGCACCACAAAGTATGAGCAGAAGCCACGCCCAAAGCCAGGGCCCCGGTAACGTGAGGTAGCCGAGTCGGGGCAGCGTGCGCTGACCCAAGCCGGGGCCGCAGCTTTGGGCGCGGTCTACCGCATCCCCGCGGGCAGCCCCGGGCTATCACATGACACCGGGAGGACGCGCAGCCCCGGCTTGGGTCAGCGCACGCTGCCCCGACTCGGCTAACTCACGTTACCGGGGCCCTGGCTTTGGGCGCGGTCTACCGCACCACCTAACAGGCGTGTTCGAAACCGCAGGAGATGATGATGAACGGGTTTATCGAAACTTGATTGGATGAGCATATCGGTAATAGCGATTTCAGTGTGTGCATTTATTGTTCATAGTGGTGTGAAATGTGGTTGGGGTACGACCGACAACCCGTCGGGGCGAATTTCGCACTGGGGTACTCAAAATTTGAAGAATTTAAGACGTTTCCATGAGTTTTGAAGGTATGGATAAGTTCTAAAAATCCAGTTCTCCTTATCTGGGCCATTAACTCCATACGGTCCAGGAAAGCTGGCACACTACCTTTAAACACTGAAGTGTAGAAGTGCTCCTTCCACATTTCCCGTATATCGTGTTACTTCTATGCCAAAGACGAGTATATTTCTCTGAGCGTTACCTTGTCATTCATGAACTGTGTTACTATTTCCACCGAATACCGTGTTACCAGCAGTGGCGGATCCAGGGGGGGGGGGGCAAAATGGGCATTTGCCCCTCTCAAACGGCATAATTTTAACATTACGCCTATTGACGAGGCATGGAAAGAATCGATAAATTGTTATGGTTTGCACCCCCCCCCCCCCAAACTCTGAGCTGGATCCGCCTCTGGTTACCAGTGTTACCATGTACGTCACACACCGTGTTACCATGTCCGTCACACATCGTGTTACCATGTCCGTCACACATCGTGTTACCATGTCCGTCACACCGTGGGTTTACACACCGATGTACTAAGGTTCGGCGAACGTGCACGTAAACTCTGACCGCATCCCTGGACGTCAAGCAGATGTGTTTAGACTAAACCGATTCATAAACTGGCAGCTTATGAACGCCTTTATCTCAAAATGACTCGGACAACAGTTTTGGACAATTTATGTGCCTTAGGACAAACAGAGATGATTTGGTTTGCTCAGGAGACTATATTTTATGTGTGCAGAGACGACGGTGACAAAATGTTTTGTGATAGGTATGCGAAAATACGCAGACGTCTTTCAAATAAGCAGCGTCTTAGACTGCTTCGTTGATGTTTTCCTCGTCTTCGGGCTTAAGATTGTACCCCACAGAAGCGCCCCCCCCCCCCGTGTCTCACCGCTCGTGCCGCTTTCTAACTCCCCCCCCCCCCCCCCCCTCCGTTTTCAGATTCTGTCGGCCCTCTCCATAGCTGGATGCATTTGGGAACTCATGAAGCTGATGAGGGCTCAATCGGAAATTGAGCGTCTGATCGGCTCCCTGGAGAATCTGGGCAACACCCTGCAGCAGATGGGCGGAGAGTTCACGTCCAACACCAACTCACGCCAAACCGCCAGGTGAGGACTGGGAGTGCAGGCAAAACCGGTGGCGGAGGGACTGGGATCCGGACCAACTGGGCGACTGATGACTGGACCAAATTGCTGGGGCTGGACGAACTGTGGGTGGGCCTACCACTTGGATAATTTGCAACAACGGACGGGGTCCTGTGCCGGGGTCGTGTTAGGCATACCACCGATAGGTTGATTTACCCATTTGGTCTACCAGAGAATCCCCGATTATTGGCTCAAATGTGAAACCTGAACTGCTCGATTAAGCATTGATATTTTTAAAGGAAAACCGTTACAATGGTTGAATTGTAACACTAGTTTCACACCAAGTCACCCGTAGGATTGTTGCCTGTATGTCACCAATTCCGCCATATTTCAGCGTCACCTTCCGCCTAACTTTGGTATGACCTTGGCTTTTTACAACGATTCCATTTGCAGGATGAAGCTGACTGTCGGGGGTTTCTGTCGACATAATTCAAGCTATTATATGGTATGACCTTGGCTTTTATTTACAGCGATGCTTTCTACCAGAGGAAGCTCATGGTTGGAGTGTGTCTCGGAGTCGTTGTCGTCAGCCTGCTTACCGCCATTGCTCTGTTCTTCGCCGCCAAAAAGGTAATGTTTTCAATGGAATTGGTAATAAATGATCTCAAATCCTAGCTGAACTTGCTAATGCCACTGGCTGACACAGAACAATTCGTGGTTTCACTGTTCGGTACTCGTCTCCCTCTCGAGAATATCTGTTTCTAAGCTCCTGAAAAGTCTCCCTTCCTGTAGGGAACAACTGGCCATTGCGCCTGCTCGTTCTTCTTTCCTCTATTATAATGCAATAACTTGCAACCATTTTATCATTTCTTCTCGATGCTTCCACAGAGCAGCTGCTGTTTGGCCCTTTCACGAAGCTCTGCCTCCTGTTTCTCACCGAACTGCTTATCAAAACACCTTGTTGTTTTCCTCCTCCCCCAAGTCAGAACAACTGATCCTAACGCTCTGCTCAAATTCAGTCTTACACAGAAGTCGGAACAGTTGACACCCTACATTTGCTAGAAACAACTGATTAAGACGCCCTATTAGGATGCCCTGCGACGGACGCCGTTCCACAGATCAGGCGATCCTAACTAACACCATGTTTTTTCTCGCTCTCTTTTACAGAACAACCGCTACCTCGCCCTGCCCTACATGATCTGGACCATCATCCTTCAGATCGTCTACGGCATCGGCATTGCCGGCTTGATCTTCCTGCTGGTTGTTGGCGACTGGAATAACAGCGAGAACGATATCATCCAGACTATCGTCGCTCCACTGGTGGGCGCAATCATCACCTTTGTTCTCAACACATGGTGGCTGATTGTGGTATTCAACTTCTACAATCTGCACAGGGATGGCCAGGCTTTCGACAGTATTCCCATGCAGACCGCCTAAGAGGGATGAAGGTTTTGCGAGAGCTGCGGAGAAGTCAAATGGTAAAGGAGAAAAGATGAGGCAGCACCGGGAGGAATGAAGTCAAAGCGTGCGAGATCTGAGGATGATGAGTGGAGGTTGAGTCGAGACATACGAGACACAAGATCAGATCTCGCAGGTCTGAGAAGTGGCCGTGGGACTGTGAGCCTGCAGGGTGGGAACGGGGGGGGGGGGGGCCGTTCAGAGAAGCTGATTTGCGGCACTGTCAGGATTCTGTTTTTGTTTGTGGGTAAGTTTCACACGCACTGAGGTCAGTCCTTTGCGCATCTAGGATTGTGATTTTGGGCGTTGAATTTCAAAGATTGTGGACCGAGGATATTGGTGTGGCTAAACCCAGGAAGTTTGTCTGGTTATGTGGCTGTCGTCTCTATATCGTCAGGCAGTAGCCGCTCGACTGAAATCCGTGACGTCTCGTAGGACGTCGCGTAAGCCAGCTAACGCGCCATTGCTGTAGGGAATCTCGGCGTGCGAAAACTGCTAGCTTTTCCTCTCTGTATAGATAAGATTTGAGCTCGTAGTGCGACTGAATGGTGAGCGATGTTGCATTGTGAACCTTAGGCATGCTATCTTTCGCCACGCCTGGGGGTTGACCGCACAGACAGCCATGCGATTCTTACACAGTGCGCTTACTGTGAGCGCAGGTAGCATTAGTCAGGTGAGCTTGCCGTTTTGGGGTCGGCACCGCCGTTTGACATTTCGCTCGGCAGATGGCGCCACCTCGGACCGAGCCTGAACCGTTTGTGAGCAATGAGCATTTCAGCTCAGCTGTCACTGACAGGTCATCTGCTACTGTCAGCTGATTATCGCCAGAATCTCTCAGCGACCGCACTTTTCGTAATGCAACACGTTTTCGCTAGCAAGAAGCGCACCTGTCTTTTGATATTATTTTGCCACCCTTGGCACACGTGTAGCTGCTGCATTTTATCACAGGCCTGCACTTGTACTTCTGTTTTAGTTGATTGCCAGACCTATCCACCAGTCAACTGCTATGCAGTTGCTAGACTACACGCATCGTCGGTTGCGTTTACAAGCTTTGACACAATCGTTAGATAAGGAGTACTTACACATATTCGCCGCGTACACGCTTCTAGAGTCTCTTACATCATCTTACTGATACCACACTACCAGCCTCTCTATACGCGTGCGCGTATTGTGCCAGACCCCAAGGGATCCCACAGATCCCCAAAGGGTTCGGCGTGGTGTCACAACCAATCTCATCTCGCTTTGACTATCGATCGGCCGGGTCTCTCCCATATGTCGTGTCTCTCGGTGTATTCATGTCGTACGTCCGTCTCGGTGTGTGTGTTGCGGTGTACCTATCGCGAAACGGTGAGCCATTTCGGAGTGCTTTGTAATGTCGAGCGCGACTTTTCGGCCCTCGTGTCTGTATGTGGCGTATTTGGTCCCCCTCCACCTTTGGAGGGAGTTGATCAAGAAGTTGATGTCACTCGGCTGACAGGGATGTCACTCGAAAGATGCGCTATGTATGGCCTTGAATGTGCTTCTCTCGCGACACTCCGTCAACGCTTTGACAAAACAATCACGTGCCTTTGTTAAAATTCGTCCATCGTTCAAAGTAACTACAAAGCTGGGATGTTGTATCGCTTGATGCTAATGCCTGCCTTTTTGAGCCTTGCTAGCTTCTCTCGTACGCGGGTATATGTGTACAAGATCTGTCATCAAAATGTTTAATGATATTCAAGACAGGCCTTTTCAAAGTAGTTGTATTGGCAACGTCAACATTGGGCATTTTTGGTGTCATTAAATAAATGAAACGTAAAACCTTGTCTTTTCCGAGTAGTAACACTCTTTTAGCGATTGGTAACACTAAATGTCTATCATTAATTGCAGTGCTTAATATCAGATCGCTTAGCATCGGAACGGGCTTCGAACTTTTCAGAAATAGCTGACATCACAACGAAGTGAATTCCGTTAGAAAGACGACTGTCTGGTCCAGGGGTACGTCACTTCATCATACGTGATGTCATCAGTGAACATATCTGTAAAATGCACAATTAGGTGGCTGCCGGTGACGTCAAACACAACTGAAAAATGGATTAACCATTCGTGAAGTGGTTGCACCTTAGTACGCTGTTATCCATGCAGACTTGACCTAAGGCAACCAAAGGCAAATAACCGACCTCAATTATATTCTTGTATGCTTGGCCACTAATTAGCTTTATCAGCCTCTATTTTTCAGTTTTTAGTTTTATCTCAGATCCTGCTGCCCGTGCTGTCCCCAAAGCAAAGGGCCAAGGGGCACGATTGGTACCAAAGGTAAGAGCCCCAGCGACTAACAGTTTGGGTGCGTATACCCCCAGACCCCCCCCCCTCTCTCTCTCTTACTCTCTCTCTCTCACTCTCTCTCTCTCTCTCTCACTCTCACTCTCACTCTCACTCTCACTCTCACTCTCACTCTCACTCTCTCTCTCTCTCTCTCTCTCTCTCTCTCTCTCTCTCTCTCTCTCTCTCTCTCTCTCTCTCTCTCTCTCTCTCTCTCTCTCTCGAGGGGCAGCGGACGGTCGGTCGACCCGAGACTGACAGCGGGGACACTCTGCTGATAGCTGGAGTAGGTATCACTATTCAGCCCGCATCTAAACTGCTGCAGTAGTTACTAGTTGGAGCCCTTATCTTGAAACCGATAGTGCATGGGAATGTGTATATTATTCAAATAATGTCAACTTTTGTAATATCTCATAGAACGATGATTCGTCGTAAGCTCAGAAACAAACATGCAAATATAGGCATATCACGCGCATAAAAGTAAAAAAAAAAGTTTTCTTAAGGCTAACTGACGTGAATTTCTGCCAGTTACATGGATCAAGGTCATTTATTAAAATTTACTAAATACTTTTCTTGACTTTGGAAATCATTCGTGCATATGATAAATATTACTTGGTGTGGTGGTACGATACACTTTTAAACTTCAATCGCAAAAGTAAGAAGCTGAACTGACCTTTGTGACCAATGCCTTTCGAACCAGGAACCACCCATCTAAGTGCATTTGTCCCTCAGTGCACTCCAGCTGTCACTGTCAGCACGGTGAAGGTAAGTACAGGGCTAAGAGCTATCAAAGGTAAATTAAACAATCATCCGTTTTTTAAGGCAACGACCACGACGAGAGTTTGGCAACAATCGGAGGAACAAAACCCTTTGCCTTTGGTCAGGTACTTACAGAACTTTGGCCCAGACGCCGGGTCCGAGATCTTGTATCACCCAGGATCGCAGGCACGCCTGAATTAGGCCGTACTGAAAACCAGACAGGACATAGTCGGAGATAGGTAGGGTGACCCAGACTGGCTGGCTAAGGGTACTTGTAGATAGAGTTTCAGACAGATGGGCTGAGCCCGAGTCAGGCAGGTATGAAGCACACCACAGTAAAACCGGGCAGAACTTAGGTGCATACAGATGGGGTGAAGCAATCGCACCAAAACACACACGAGACCTTTACAAGACTTCCAGCAAATACTTTAGGTCATTTGATTGATAACCCTACCATTTACTACCGTCGTTGTCCTGCGTGTTCCGTAATCTGTCATGTAGCTAAATACTTCGCTCCAAACGTTTACCAGATGTCTTAACCCTCGCCGGCCGAGAGGGGGGGGGGGGTGGCGGGTGCCGCCCCCCCCTATAGGGTTTTTTCGCGATAGCTCCGAATACGCTGGCGATAGAGAGCTGAAACTTGGCATACCTGACCTTTGATTAAAGCCGGATCTTTTGACACCAACCGCATTTTTGGGTCAGGTCAGGTCACTGACCTATGACGTCATAAGTGAACCTCTGCACGGTCTTCAGATGTCGCAACTTCGCAACGCCCTCACTGCCAGAGGAGATGTGACAGGGAAATGAAACTTGCAGAATCTAGTATCCATTATGAGTCTCACAACTTGTATATCTCGGATTTTTCCTAAAGGTCACATGAGGTCAGGTCATTTTCGTGACCTCACCATTATAAGTCAATGGGGAAAAATGAAAACTGCTATTTTGGCGCCGGGAACGATCTCCAACTATCTCAAGCACACAGAATCGTGATTTGATGAACTCCTTGCAAGGTTAGATGCGTCACTTTTGCAATGTTGACCTTGCGTGACGTTATTTATGAGGTCATCAAGGTCATATTAGTTTTTCGTCAATAACTCTTGATCAAATTGAGCTAGCGAGTCGGGAAAGCCACCAGTGGACTCAGGAAGACCTGCCGAATCGAATGATATGCGACATGACCTCTTTCGACCAACTTCGTGACCTGGGGGTGCTGACCTGACCTTGACCTGAGGTCAACACCCCAAGTTGACCTGACCCGGACAAAAAGTATATCGCTCGACGCGCCTGAGCGAGGCGAACACGATGCTGCCAAAATCGCGGCTCTGCGGACGTTTTTTTGCGAAGTTATTCACCAAAAACTGAACCGTACCTTGGGGCACTTGACCTGACCTCAGAGGTCACCGGTTGACCTAGGACCTTAAAATCGGGTACCAATCTCTGCGTCTCGTAACCACTGGCGGATCCAGGGGGCCACGGGGGCCATGCCCCCTCCCCCAAAGGCCTAAAGTGGCCTGTTTGCTCCCCCCAAAAAAACGTCAGAAAAATTGCTAAGAAAATATACCTTGATGGAGGTTTTTAGCCACTTGGTGAAGTAAAGCTTTCCACAGCATAATACGGAAGCAATATGGTAGCAGTGAGGGTCAGTCAAAAGTTGCGCGAGTGGAGTCGACCTTCAAAAAAAAAGACTGTTGTTGGCACGTGTTTATGGCGCGGTAGCTGGTAGTTGGCGGTGTTTCGCGTGGTGTGGCATCACTGGCGGATCCGGGGGGGGGGGGGGGGCACGGGAGCCTGAGGTGCCCCTGACAGGCCCGTGGTGTCCTTGCTAGGCCTGTGGTGCCCCTGGACCCTGGCAGGCCTGTGGTGCCTCTGGCGGGCCTAGGGTGCCCCTGCTAGGCTGCTGATGCCCCTGGGACCTGACAGGACTGTGGTGCCCCTGACAAGCCTTAAGTGCCCCCAACAGGCCCGTGATGCCCCCGACAGGCCCAAGGTGCCCCTGCGTGATGCCGTGATGCCTGCGAGGCCGGTGGTGCCCCTGCGAGGCTGGTGGTGCCCCTGCGAGGCCGGTGGGGCCCCTGACAGGCCCATGGTGCCCCTGCGAGGCCGGTGGTGTACCTGCTAGACCGGTGGTGCCCCTGGCAGGCCTGTGGTGCCCCTGCTAGGCCGCTGGTGCCCCTGGGCCCTGACAGGACTGTGGTGCCCCTGACAGCCCAAGGTGCCCCTGCAAGGCCGGTGGTGCCCCTGTAAGGCCTGTGGTACCCCTGCTAGGCCTCTGGTGCCCCTGACAGGCCCATGGTGCCCCTGCGAGGCCGGCGGCGCCCCTGGCAGGTCTCTGGTGCCCCTGACAGACCTGGGGTGCCCCTGACAAGCCTTTGGGGCCCCTCACAGACCCGTGGTGCCCTTGCTAGGCCTGTGGTGCTCCTGGCAGGCTGGTGGTACCCCTGCTAGGCCGGTGGTGCCCCTGACAGGCCTGTGGTGCCCCCGGGCACCAAGGGGGTCATGACCTATGTGGCCCCCCTTGGATCTGCCACTGATACATAATATATTTATTTGTTAAGGCGTTATGGCTTATGCAATATGCAATTGCAGGCACTTCGTATCCCTCACTTATCCCTCATTGAGGGCTCTGGCGGGCTCCTGAGGGCCCACGTCTATCTCCGGGAGCCCTAGACAGGCTCCTTTGGGTCCTTTCAGTCAACTATAGCATAAGAGGTCTCCACGCGAGTCCTATACATCTGAGGGCGTACCCTGACGTCTGAGGTATCCAACTGCAGCTCCAATGGTCTCTTAACACTGGCGGATCCAGGGAGGGGGCATTTAGGGCCATGCCCCCTTCCCAGAGGCCTAAAGTGGCCCGTTTGCCCCCTCCCCCAAGCGAAAATGAAACATAGTTCAATCAGTGCGTGGCCCAGGAGCCGAGTTAGACAGGGGGTGTTTTACCACCTCCCGGCCCGCAAAGGGACCCTTAAGCACTGACTCGAAGCGGGTTAACCGGTCGACAAAAGCAATGGTAAGTGTTTACAAAGTAATATAAAGGCATGGGTCGGGTGGGCTACCATTTATATATTTTTATTTTTAGTTTAAAAAAATATATTCATAGTGTCAGGGCTGTGACGAAAAATAAGTGGCCTAAATCCGATGAGAAAACAGGATTTGGGGGTACCCTAGGTTTGGCTCCTGCATGAGTTGCCCCCCCCCCCCAAAAAAAACGCAAGCCTGGATCCGCCAGTGCTCGTAACGGCGCACACGCTCGTTTTTTTCCGCGACGCGCTAGCTCCACCAGGGGCGAAACGGCGAGGGGGGGTCGTACCCGCCCCCCCCCCCCTCGGCCGGCGCGTATGTAGAAAACCAATAGGTCCGGCGAGGGTTAATTGCCTTGATTCTTAAAAAAAAACATACTAATGTTTATCACTAATAACTGATTAATCAGTCCACTTATTACTGAGTTGATAATCTACGAATCTATGTTAACCAACGTTAGCGGATAAATCTTACCATGATGTGCCGTAAAAGCTCCCGGAGTTGGCGCTCGGAGCTGATCTATCGACCCACACTGGCAGGTCGCCGCAGTTCCTCGACGCAGTACCGGTTGACCTCCTTGCTGTACCCGTCACTGTTGGTTTGGTGTGCCTCTGTTCTGCGTCGCCGTTTCACCCCAGAAGCTCAGTTGGAAGGCCTCTACGCGGTCGGTCCGTGTGATAGTTCAGTGGCGAACAGGAGCTAAAACCTGTCGACAGAGGGGTGAGTTGTCATACGAGATGTGCTTGAGATATGCACTGTGCTGTCGCACAAGATGAGCTCACTAAATTGACTGATTGCATTTTAATAGTTATATTTAACTATTGTTTTCTAAGCTTTATCTTTTCCACGGCACATTCTTCTTAAGATCGTAGGTTAAGTTCATAGCTTAAAGCATTACTTTGAGGCAGGGGTGTGCCAAATACTCATTGGTTTTAACCCTCGCCCGTATTGGTGTTTTTCCAGCCGCGAACGTATAAGGGGGGGTCCGTTGGACCCCCCCTTGCCGTTTCGCCCCTGATCGAGCTAGAGCTTCGCGGAAAAAACGAGCGTGTTGCCCGTGACGAGAGGAAGCCGATGATACCCAATTTTAAGGTCCTAGGTCATTGGTTGACCTTCCAGGTCAGGTCAATGACCCAAAAGTCGGGAAAATCGGGACCTGTTAGAAAGTCGTAAAGCGTGGCTGCTATGGGGGTTTTTCGGGGTGCTGATCACGAATATCATGTTAGTTATGATCACAGATGATGTCTTCATGCATTTAGGCCAGGTCGGGTCAGGTCAGGTCAGGTCAACCAGTAAGGGTATTCGTAGTAGGTGGCAACCACCTCTGACAGCTTCGTAACATGTTACGGAGGTGCCAAAACTACTTCGTAAATGTTCATATGGTTGCTAAATTCGAATTCAGCTCCAAAAACTGGCCTAGAAACGTGTAAAACTCGAAAAAGTGAACCGAGGTCATCAAAGGTCAGTGACCTGACCTGACCTTCCGGTGACCTTGACACCCACCCTAATGCATGGGAGCAGCATCATATCCCATGTTTGAACGCTTAAAACCACGAAAAGACTGCAAACGCGCGGCTAATGCGAGCCGACATACGCCGAATCGCGATTCCGGCCAAACATGGTCTCGAAAAGTAGGTCACAGGTCAAAGGTCATTAGGGTCAGGGTCATGAAAATTTAAGGGTAGGTGTAAAATTGATTAACGCGAGGGTACTGAAAGTTTCGTCGCGATCGGCCGCTTTTTACGCGAGTTATTCGCGAAAAACCGAGGGGGGGGTCCGTTCGACCCCCCCTATACGGGCGAGGGTTAAACTGGTTGCGTGCTGATTCCCGCTTGATGAGGAAGTATGTTTGAATCCTACTTAACCCTATTCCCTGGCGGGCTCCGCCGGGACAAGAAACTGGCGGGGAGGGGGGGGGGCCGATTCGGCCCCCCCCCCTGAGATCTCGGAAACTAATGGACGGATTTTGATCCGGTAAGCGGCATTGGATTGCTCTCAACGTGAACTACATTTTAGACATTTTCTAATATCAAAAACGAAAAAAACAAACCCCTGAGACCAGAGGTGGAACTTTTTGTTTTTCATTGGGGTTGTAGTTTGCCGGAGCCCAGGGTATACCCCCACCAAAACCCGAAAAGTCCCCAGATTCGGCCCACTATTTTTCGGGAGGGGCCCACATTTTCATTTACAAAAAAAAGTGGTCCATCTCCAGGGAGAGACGGATACCATTCCCCTGTCGTCCCTCCATTGGCTATGTGCCTGGTTGTAGGTACTCGGGTATCGCCACCATGGTCGTGGCCATAGACGGCGGAACGGGGAGGGCACCGGGGCACCGTACCCCCTTTGATTTTGGCATTTTAACATTAGCCCTATGGGCGTTGCATGGAAAGAATGGGACCAAAAGTCGGCAGTGCCCCCCTTAATTGAGGGTGTTCCGCCGCTTCTGGTCGTGGCGATTCGGAAACGGTAGGTAAGCCCTAAATCACAGTCCCTATGAATACTTGTTTCTTTCCACATTTGACACAAACATTACTCAGTATTGGAGCAAGGCTCTTTCCCTACGAGTAACAATTTAAGCCACTCGTGGCAATTGACAACGAAGACCTAAACAGGAATACGTTATTTTTATACTAAAAAACTTAAAACGAGTCCATCTTTGTATATTAATGCCACTGTCGTCTGGAATACGTCTATTACGGAAACGGGTAGTAGAAACCGGAATAGTGACTGATCAGACATGAGATATTTTGCAAACGAGGACAACATACCGAACACAATGCCGCAAGAACCTAACACTGCATCTAAATAAAATCAACCTGAGGAAATTAAATAATAAATGCCACAGCCTTTTCATATCACCGAATACTTCAATGGGAGATAACACGGAACTTTGGCCGCCAGGTGTCACTGTAGGCGTTCCTGCTGATTCAATTTGCGCCGGTGCCGTTCGGAGCCGTGTCGTGCGGTGAAAGTGGGTGAAATACTGAGGAAGTAGTGAGTCACATGTGTCATAATACCTAGGAAGAAAATGGCCCAGTGTTGTGTCTATGGCTGCTCGGAGAATGGTGGGTTTGTATTTTCTCGCGACAAGAGGCCGAGGAAGATAGGTACGGCTCAGGCTTGGCTCAGGCTGCAACGGATTTCATCCCACCAAACACTTGATTGTGTGTCGGAAGCATTTTACCGACGATGATTTTTTGGAATATACTGCCTGCGGTAAGTTTTTATGGTCATGCGCAGCTTTGTATCTAAGATATACCCTATCATTCGCCACCCGGTGAACTTGGAAGTCACCTACCGGCTACCACCATAAGTATCAAACGAAAAATGGGTCTGCTTTTCATGGAATATTCATGTCCTAAATGCTACATAGGTCAACAATCATTTAATCTTAGAATAATACAACTACCTTTATTTGTACAAATTATTGCATGCTTCGTAGACATCTCACATCAACATCATAGGTGAGGTACGTATACTTCATGATCCATCAAAGTTTAAGGCAAGAAAACACACTTCACAGTGCTATAAACAATGACGTGCATTGTCAAGGGCCAGACAACAGCAGAAGAGGCTGAAGAAGGGGGTTATTCCATCTGTTACTCAGGGCAAAGCACCAGCTTCAACTGCTTCAGCAATTCGTAGGCAGGCTAGGCGCAAGGAAAAGGAACATGGCCAGCTGTTGGACAGCTTGGTCAGTGCAAATAACTACAGAGCTTAGATGCTGTCCTTTACCTGCAGATAAGATGAATAGGTTTGTGCCTTGTGGCACTATTTATCTATAACTGTTTATCGTTATTGACATTTGAGCAATGGGCAGACGCTGTCAGATCCAGACAGGATAGGAGATTCTCTGTTTTGTGATTTGGATGGCAGATGTAAGGGGATCACTTCTCAGTTTGTTTTTTTGAAAGGTTTTTTATCCCACAACTCACAGACAAGTCGCAAAGGTATACTTAACTGGGCAAATTGTATGTTCAATCTAAAGTGTTTTCACCTTCTGGCAGATGCTAATTGCTCAGAACCAACCAGTGGTAATAAAAGATGTGCATAAAGTTTCTGATAATGGTCTATCTCATGCCTTGTCAGGCTGTATTCAGTATGTATGAAGCAGTTAATACAAATTTTATTGCTTTCACAGGTACAAGAATGGGCTCAACAGGCAGAGGAAATGGAGAAGAGTGCTCCACCTCCACCTGACGTTGCTGCTTATGAGGAGTGCGACACTGAAGGGGGGTGTGCTGCACCACTGCGGGGCTATCTGATGGTGCTGTCAATATCAGCACCAGGCAGGGTTCAATGTCCAAGATCTGTTAGCCTGTCGTGATGTACGTGTCATAACACCAGCGTTCCTTAAAGTGAAGTCCCAGCTCTCTCCCGCCGAACGCACTCAGTCGCTCGCTATCACGAGGGATCATATCCATGTCGGGCGTATGACTGGTCTGATCAAGACTTACTCGTTTCTTAGGGGGCAAATCGATGCCGGTTACGTACCTGTTCTTTCAGACATATTCCGTTCTGTGCGTCTCGTCTGTAGCCTGCAGAAATCGCTCATGCAGGTGGCGGGGATGTGCGCGCTCTGGGACGTTAGCATTAGCAGACTGAGCTTCACCGTCTCATGTTTATTGTACATGCCTACATTTGTGAATGGTGCATTGGAGGGCTACATGTGTATGCTGGTGCACAGTGCATTGCTTGAAAGCTGTATGTTATTTGGTAATCGGTGATATTGAATGCTTTTGAGTTTTGGAGCTTGCCTTGTCGAAGTGGTTTAGCTAGTAGGTACTCTGCTATGTTTCGATGTCAGTTCAATACACCGCTGTTGACTATCATACACTGATTCAAAAGCTATGTGTTGTATTCGCCATCGCGCAGTGACGCTCATAAGTCATGAGTTAATTGGCATGAATAGAAACGAACGAGTACTGTCTGCAGCTGGTTACAGGATACGGGCATGGTCTAAAGGAACTCCTACAGGGTGTAACGAAATTATCCGCACATCTATTTTTCGCCATATCTGTTCGCATAGTTTCTTTTCTGACGTTAGAAGCGAGAATATTGGATGAATGCGTGCCTCTGGTTTCGGCTCTCGCCTCGGCAGTGACCTGACCTTGCGATGTGACTCTTGCTCTGAGTAAGAGTCGAGTTACGGAAGGGTTCATTTGGTAGTTTTCTATCAAATGATTGAAAGCTTTGGGTTCATTTGATGGCATGGTGGCATGAGCCAGAAGCTGGTCTGTCAGCAGCTGGACATCAGCAGCAGCCAGTTGCATATCAGCCTGAGGCGCGATAATTGCTGGGACTTGGGTGACCGCGGGCGACCCGGGCGGACGCAGCCCGGGCCGTGTTCCACGGAGCGCTGCCTTGATTTCATAGTTGTCACACACTACCCCTATATCTCCAACACTATGGTAGTGTGCAACAAGTATGAAACCAAAAGCGCCAACAGCGTTGGCAGCGCTCTGTGATACCCGGCCCCGGCCGTGACAGCAAATGGATCGGCAGTAACGCCCTTGCTGCCACATGGTGGCCATTATTGAAAGCTTTGCTCTGTGCTCTCCCATTAACTAGATGATCTTTTTTCAACGAGCAAATGTATTATGCATTGTTTGGCGAATCGTAAACAAAACGCATACTCTTCACAGCCACGATGGCTAGGAACACATAACGGCTTGTCTGTCTGCCCCTGAGACACTGAACGTACACCGATTTTCAGCTAAATCGAAAGACCCCGCCGTTTACCGTTAAAATGTTAATTGGCCGTTAATTCGTTAACGGTGCAAAATACCACCCCTAAGAGGTACATTTTCGGAATAAGCGCATCGAGGAGGCCCTGTACACCGATTTTCAGCCAAATCGAAAGACCCCGTCGTTTCCCGTTAAAATGTTGATTGGCTGTTTACTCGTTAAAGGGACAGTATCATCGAAAAAAAAATCCATGTATGGAGCTGATTTTTTTTTTACTAGCATTTCTTATTTTTCTGAATCAGAAAAACATAGTTCGAGGACCGAACTCGGTGAAAAATATTGCAACCACATTTCATTTTCATGATTCATTTTCATGAGCGAACCACCACTATACAAGCATGGCCGCCAGTTTGGAAGCATGCAAAATTACTACAGAACTGGCGCAAATAATACATTATTGACGCTACGCTTACGCGGTCGTTCTTCTGATTGAGTTGTCCTTAGGGAGAGGTAGCCTTAGGTATTGCCTATAAAAATATAACGTGACAATTGGAGGGAGTGACAATTGGACGTGACAATTGACAATGGGAGAAAATATCACGTGACAATCACGTGATAAACGTCATACATTGGAGGGAGATTGTGATTCAAGCTGGAGGAATTCCTTTGTTGAGCCGCTAGAATCCGAAGGAAACAGCGGAAATTGCCTACGACTATTTAATGAATTTAACGGTGATGAATAAGTGCGAAAAACGTTTTGGCTTTATAAAATTTGATGAAATGACCAGGGTAAAAGTTTTATTACTGGCGGTCAATTCAAAACGGCGCAAACATTTAAACAGTGAAGATAGTGAAGCACGATTCAAAGTGTGGTACACCTTTCGTACTTTGAGCGGCGATAGCGGGATAACGGTGTGGAGCTTCGAGGATCGGTCTTCAGTTCCCGGACCAGAAAGGTGGGGCCTATGCAATGTCAAATTTCATCAAAATGGTGATACTGTCCCTTTAACGGGGCAAAATACCGCCCCAAAGAGGTACATTTTCGGAATCAGCGCATCGAGGAGGCCCTGTACACCGATTTTCAGCTAAATCGAAAGACCCCACCGTTTCCCGTTAAAATGTTAATTAGTCGTTAACTCGTTAACGGTGCAAAATACCACCCCAAAGAGGTACATTTTCGGAATCAGCGCATCGAGGAGGCCCTGTACAGCGATTTTCAGCTAAATCGAAAGACCCCGCCGTTTCCCGTTAAAATGTTAAGTAGTCGTTAACTCGTTAACAGTGCAAAATACCACCACAAAGAGGTACATTTTCGGAATCAGCACATCAAGGAGGCCCTGTTTACCGTTTTTCAGCCAAATCGAAAGACCCCGCCGATTTCCGTTAAAATGTTAATTGGTCGTTAACTCGTTAACGGTGCAAAATACCACCTCAAAGAAGTACATTTTCGGAATCAGCGCATCAAACAGGCCCTGTATACCAATTTTCAGCTAAATCGAAAGACCCCGCCGTTTCCGGTTGAAATGTTAATTAGCTGTTAACTCGTTAACGGTGCAAAATACCACCCCAAAGAGGTACATTTTCGGAATCAGCGCATCGAGGAGGCCCTGTACACCGATTTTCAGCTAAATCGAAAGACCCCGCCGTTTCCCGTTAAAATGTTAATTGGTCGTTAACTCGTTAACGGTGCAAAATACCACCCCAAAGAGGTATATTTTCGGAATCAGCGCATCGAGGAGGCCCTGGATACCGATTTTCAGCCAAATCGAAAGACCCCGAAATATGCTGCTGTGAGGCTGATATTCGTTGCTGCTGAATTGACAGACGTCGCCGAAACCTTGCATTTGTATCAGATGCGTCATGTTGGCTTACATGTGACTTAGTTTGCATTCTGTTCGCGAACCTGTCAGTAAGATTATCAGCACTAATTATCGCACAGGATTGGTTTTTATGGTCGTCAACGTTGGTTTTAAGTGTCGTCATTTTAGCCAAATATTCGTGCTGATTGGTGGTATTGTGCCAACTGACAAAATTGCGAACAGAGTGATATTTCACTTTAGAAATGTATTTTGATTGTGCGTTCTGTGGTCGTTGACACGCATTATTATGGTCAGATTATGGTGATAGAATGTTACATAGGGTGAAGGCTTAGGTTAGGTTAATTTATTTCTGAAGCTTACTGTTTTGTGTCAAACTTTTCATCTATGCTTATCTATTTGATAAGCACAGCCCACAGGTATGAAATATTTAGTGATAAAACCTAAAAGTACAGTGGCGGATCCAGGGGGGGGGGGCGAAATCAGCATTTGCCCCTCCCAAACGGCATAATTTTAACATTACGCCTATGGACGAGGCATGGAAAGAATCGATAAATTGTTATGGTTTGCCCCCCCCCCCCCATAAAAACTCTGAGCTGCCTCCGCCACTGCAAAAGTATGATGAATGTTATGATTTTTTTGCTTCATACTTTCATGTTACATGTTAAGATTTTTTGGAACACTTTCAATATGATTCACTTGGTATGCTTAAGAAGTGTGAAGTGATTAACTTTCATATCATGCTCACTGTCTCAGCGGAATAATATGTTCTTAACAGAGCACTTTCAATGTTTTTAGCATCTGGAATTCAAAAAGATGTCCTAATTTATTGATATCTTCACTTTCTTGATATATCTCAATTATCTGCTTCTGTATGATACATATTTTGTTTATTTTCATGTGTTTTAGGCTGATTCTTAATTTTCCAATGTTGGGGTTGTAGTTTTGCCATTGGGGTTGTACCTACTTATAAAAATTGGGGTTGTAGCTACAACCACCACAGTATATAAAGTTCCGCATGTGCCTGAGACCCCCAGAAAGCCAATATTTTCCGATTTGGCAGAGTTTTCAAAGAATGAGGTCTAGCTCAGTATCTAGGAAAGTCAGAGCAAAATGGAAAAAAGCAGCTGATAGCTGAGGAAATTTCCTTTCGAATAGCTGCCAACAGATTTCAGCTATTTTTGATATTTGAGGCGCTAGGAGTCAAAAATCTAAAAGCATATTTTTTAGTAACATCACTTTTGCGTCAATAACTTCTGAACCGTTAGTGATAGCCTGAAACGGTAAACACTGTTGCAGTTCTCTAATAAATGCGAAACAAATGGTTTGTATTTTGACCTACTAAGGTCACTCTCAATTTTGACCTCAGGTCACGGTTGACCTGACCTGAGCAAGTATAGGCGAGTAACATATCATTCGATACGTCATGACTCGGGAAACATGTTGTTATATAAAGGAGTGTTTTATCATATTTGTTTTACTTTTTATCATTATATGAAGACGATATGAATGTTTCATGCATATAAGTTCTCATTTTACCCCAAACATGTTAGTTTGAATCGTTTCCCCATTGACCGTAATGGTAAGCATTGGTGACCTCAGGTCATGACCTGTCAAGGATATAACAAAAACCGAAACATATGTTGCACATATCGGTAAGCTTATTTGAACCTGGAAGTTTGAACATATTTGCTCGAAAACGCTTGCTGTGGTGAGGGGACAAACTTTTTTTAATGACCTAAATTTAGGTTGACCTGGTGACCTGACCTGAGGTCAGATCAACTCAAAATTTTCAGAAATGTTGCGTAAAAGCCTTTTAGGAAGTCAGAAAATTTGAGCTTCCTAGCTCAAAGCGCTCAAAGCGTTTGGGAGAAATAACCAAAAAACCTCAGGGGGGCTCCTGAGGCCCCCCCCCCCCGGCCAGGAATAGGGTTGAGCCATTGTCAAACCTTTTGCATTGCAAACAAAGCTGTCCTTCAGCGACCTTCAAGGGTCCTAAATGTGGTCGCACGACTCAGTTTTCCATCTCTCTCTGTCCATTTTCAACCGATATAGTTGGGTCCACAAGGCTCCACATGATACGGAGTGAGAGTCAAACCCCCGGTGTCGCACGGAGCTATGGCCTTTAGCCCAGCACATTTCCCGAGCGGAATGAATTTCACAGCCAATCATCTTCACATGAGAGAGCGGAAAATCATACCCACCCGGAGACTGCAGTAAAATGAATGAAATATTGGCCACAGATTGATGAGGTAGCCCGCTCTTCGTTAATATTTCATTATTCATATATTTTGCGGTACAGAAGATTACCGAAAGGCCGCAGTTCCTTTCCATAAAAGCTTACTGCAGATTGCGCAACTAGGCAATGCAGAAAATTGGGCCCACATTTCACGTTACCTTTCATGGTTGCCAGAAGCCATTCATCCAATTCTTGCGAGGACAATAATAAGCCATGGAATAAATATTATCAAATGTACCGGTTTTCCAATTTCACCGTTAAATGGTATGCTGAAAATGCTTCTGTATTTCATGATGAAGTCGCAAACTATTCACCTATTTAATTATCTTAATTAATATAACTAATATCAAAACTTCTTAATCATTTAAGCGTTACTGTTTCGTCTGCAAGCACTTGTGACTGACAGCTGACACGACTTTTGTTGACCGGCCGCCGTCCTCCGGCGGGGCGGGCGGCTGTGCCCCGGGGCGCCCGCGCTCCTCGCCCGCTGATTGGCTGGTGCCAGGTGTCAACCGGGTCACGTGATCACCGCTTGACGACAGGCGGCGCTGGAGTGCCGGCCTTATTGAGTGATCCATAGTTACAAAAAAAGCAATAATGACGAATGAGCTTACCGGAGCGCAAATGTTAGAAACAGTGACGGAAGCGTGGCTCCTTGTCGATGCTGGGAGCTTCCGTCAGTTCCAGTGACGGAAGCTCCCAGCAGGCTTGTCATTTGCCTCAGAAGTCGCATCCTAGTAGCGGGGCAGAGTGAGGCTTAGTCGGGCTTTTCAGAGTTGATCTGGTAGATATGGTAGGGATGGGGTCTTTCGGACTCCACGCCAGGCTTGACGAGGAGTTCCAGTAGGACTATTTGCGGTCATGCATGAGGTAAAGCTTAGCTTTGATCTTCGATGATCATTTGCCTCTCTCGCTAATGCCTAGCATTGATGTAGTTTTGGAGGATCATACTGGATCCATGGCATAATGCGTATCGGCAGCCGGCAATCGGACGGGGTTCAAGTTTGGCTCGATCCGAGAGATGACGTAACTTTTCCAGACAGTCGGAGCCAGACAGTCTGATGTGAAACGCTTACATTTAGGATTCTAGGGCTGGCTTGTGTCCCACTTCGCAAATGTGACCATTTCGGATCAAGTTTGTGGGCGAATCCTGTTCAGAATCAGAAATGTATCGAACCCGAACACACGATGCACACGGAATGAGTTGAGCGGTGCGCAAATGGGCACAGAAGTTTTGCTCTGCTTCATTGGACGTATTCAATTCTCATCTCATTCAAATCCAGGGGCGTATTCTCATGTGTCATAACTCATTCCCAAAGCTGAGATTATGAACTGAACCCGTCAAAGGCTGCACTCGCTTATGCGCTGTTAGACTCAGGATTTAAGCATTTGGGGTTTCGAAGTAAGCTACTTTAAAAAATATATATAATCTAATTCCGTTCTCCTCAGTTGCTGATCAGTTTACACATGTTTCCATTCAAACCTTCCTCCATTGCAGCTCGGAAAGTGCTTTATTGCAAAGGGAGCGCGCATTTCAGCATTCATCTTAAGTATAAAGGCCTGGATACACTATGCGTTTTCTTCGTGCGTTTTTTGCGTGTTTGCATGTTTTGCGTGATATCGTTCTAGAAAAAGGAACGATATTACGTTTTTGTGATGTTTTTTACCTTAAATTTTAGTTACATAAGAGTTATATTAGCTTTTGTATATAGCCAAAGTAAAATTTATATTGTTTATAACTTTTTTCCTAGAACGATATTACGCAAAACACGCAAACCTGCAAAAACGCACGCAGAAAACGCATAGTGTAGCCAGGCCTTAAGTATAGGTTTTACGTCAAAGCCCTCATATATGGTGACGGTGTGCAATGTGCATCCTCTCATGATTCCTGATCACGAAACCATATGACTTCATTGTCACTCGGTCTACACAAAGCCCCCCAGTGCCCAGTGGTGACATGTCACGCCTTAGGCGTAAACGTGCTCCAGAGGTCGGAAGTCTTCTCATTTTCTACACTCCAAACATTACGACGCAATAACCCATGGTGGGGTGAATTATAATGCACACTGCATTCTGCGTATATTGATTCTGCGTTATTTGAGTTGGTTCTGACTTTAGGAAAAATTCAGCGAGATGAGAGGTGCCCAGTTGGTGCTTAGTTGACCACCGGCGTATTACTCGTATAGCACCGGACGGAATTATTTGCGCATGCATAACTATTAGCGATTTAGCGATACAATTAGCCAATCACGTAATCGCACGATTTCCAAATAGCGGTACCTACATAAAGATTTGCTAAGTACGCTTTACACCCGAGAGGCCGAGACAACGGGCTCTTGTTCCGGTCTTATGTTGGAGTGGATGCTGTCGTTAGAATGGCCCGAGTTGATCGCCGGCGATACTGATAGGCTTGATCACTGTCGATCACGACGATTCCTGTCATTCAAACATTTACCCAGGATCCTATCCACACATTCAGGATATTCACCAGAGCAATATCGGAACGAATGCCGACCACATTATCAGGTCGGCAATTTGATTCGAGTACGGAGGACGCGGCTACATGCACTCGATGGTGCATTTCATACGTGCATGTTGGCCACCTTGCAACTCTGATTCAATATTTAAGCATATTTTTATTTAAAATAAAGCTGATGTCTAAGGGCAAAGCAGCTAAGGGGTCGGCTAGGTCTGCACAAACGGGCCAATTTCAATCAGGGCGTATCTTACCTATAACCTATGCGTGGCTCCCTTATGCGTGCGTTTGTGTGGGACTGTGGGTGCACGGGTCGGTTCAAGTGTGTGTGAGTGCAGATAATAAACACAATGGCTGTTCAAAGCGAACTGCTTGCGCTTGCTCAATGCTCACTGTAAACATGTGATAATCAACTTCCTCACAAAACCTTAATCAAAACGGTTTGCAAAATCAGTCTTTTCTAGTTCCTGCGTGAAGCACTTCAACCTCAACACCAAATGAGTCCCAGCTCAAATATTTGAACTTCAATCGATGGCAAGTTAATCAGCTAGACACGCAAATATTCCGTGGAAAACGCGAGTGGATAAAGAGACCTTATTTTGCAGCCGATCGAAAAAGCGTGCGTTCACAAGGAATGAAAGTCTTTTTACCCAGTCATACTAAACTTTCTAACTCATATTCACTAGAATTATAACGTCAGGAAAGAATCGTTCGCATAAAATAAGAACATGAAATGCGTACCTTCTGTTTCATTCAGACAAACAAACAACGTTTTAGCTGACTTGATTAGAACGCAATACCATGCATAACTGAATTTAAGAAGCTAACTATTCGTAGGTCTAGCCCGGGTCTTAGGTAGGTATATGGGTGTGCTAAGATAAATGCCTCAGAAAAGAAACAACAGGCGACTGAGGCACTTCAGAGGACTTGTTCAATGTTCAAATAGTAGCTTGCTGAACTACTATACAAACAATCCGCAAAAGCTCTGAAGTAAATCAGCATCATCATGTTTTGCGAAAATGCCGGTCTGTTCCACAAAACGCTAGTCTTTTATCTTCCTGACATATTCACAACACACAAGCCCCAACTGAACAAAGACGAACACAGTTGCGCCATTGAAGACTGCATTTAATTAAAGTGACCATCCCACCTTAACATTAGTTTTGAGTTGAGATAGCCAAAATGGGTCCCTGTCTTGCACTTACCGGTTTGAGCACTCACAAGATCGAGAAATGCCTCAAATTGAAAATATCTAAGTTCAAAGTTGCAGCACTTGGATTCAGTGTATTAGAATATGCATTAGAATGCCCCCTCTGAATGTGTGACGTCAGCGCAGATCTAACGATTTTAAATCTTTTACTAAAACGTTTGGTAGCACGCGGTGGTATACGCTGCTTTGCGCGCAACAAGTGCCGCACTTTAAAATAAAGTCGCTAGGAACAGTGGAGATCCCAAAAAGTAAACAAAAGTAAAAGTCTAATATCTTGAAAACCGGTGAATATTTTTCGATGAAATTTGGTAGATATTCGTTTTCGCTCTTTCTGAACCGAGCAACATCACTTTCATGCCAATTCATTACCTTTTTTGAAGGTGGGAGGGTCCCCTTAATGAAATCGAGTTTGAATAGAAAAGCACGTTCTAATGGTTAATTTGCGGTTGCAATAAAATGTTCAGGTTAGGTTAGGTTTATTTTGCTTTACCATATGGTGGAGTATCTCTTTAGTATTGGCACGAGCGTTCGGAAAATGTTGGTATATGCTTTCGGCCCGCTCAGACTGTAATGCTTTAGGTATCTGGGAAACGGTTTTGGACCGTGGTCATTTTTCGTATACCAGCAGATTGTTTTGAGGTCATTGACCCGTCTTTCAACATTGCTTACAAAGCTCATTTCTAGCTATGCTTCTTTTATCTTTGCGTTGCCCAGAAGACGGGATAACTTTGGTGGGCCATGTGGCGATATCTATCCGTAGGTACGAAACGCAAATAAACGCCAATAATCAAATTTTTATTCAGGTGGGTACACGTCATTTTGGACTAGTCGACAGGGCAGTGTTGACAGCTCCGGGTGTTACCGTGCCGTGCTTCTTACTTCATTTTGATGTTCACGATTCCACGGTTGCTGATGTTGAACACGATATAAGGGGAGCTGGAAACTGATATTTCGAAGTAAGGCTTCAAATTCTTCACGCATTGTTCACTTTTTTTCTTAACGTTTCCCTACTTTTTATTTTTTAATAACAAAACTCAATGCAATCTTAATTGTCATCACCAAAGTCAAATCCTAAGAAACTGGTGAGAAGCGTGGTTTTGAGAAGGCTCATTTTGCAACTACGTGCACCATATGGTAAAATAAATACCACACTTAGGCCGGAATGATTTCTTGAGGACCTCGGTCGTTGTTTGATTTTCCACCCTCGGCCTTCGGCCTCGGGCGGAATATCAACAACGACCTCTGTCCTCAAGAAATCATTTACCGGCCCCGTGTGGTATTTTATATTCTCGCTCGTCAATGGCCAATTTTGAACTATAAAAGCCTGTCGATGACAATGGCTGAGTGAGCTTAGAATGAACGAGGGACGCACGCCGTATGCCCGCCCACACAGGAAATCTAGAAAAAGCAAAGTAGTGAGGCAGTAGGAAACGAATTTCGAATGTTCTCACGGTTTAAAGGGAGATTATGACCTTTTCCCACTTTATTGGAGTTGGGACCATTTTTTAGTAGAAAATGTATAAAAATAATGTAAATTCATTGCATTTTGCCGAAATCACGAAATAACCATGTTTTTTTTTAATTTGAAGTAGCTCAAGCGCTCCGCGCTTGGTAGTGATGGGTAAGCAAGTACTTGCACCTGTTTAAGTAAAATCGGTGAGTAAAAATTAAACCTATTTGAAAATTTT